AAAGGGGGTTGTTGATCCGCGCAGCAGGTAAACTGATCTGAGTGCGGATCAATAATTTGTTACAATTTTGACGTAACAGTACATTAGGACTAATAATTCGGCCCTATTCGAGCATGCGTGATAGTATTTGCGGGCTCGGAACAATAGGCGGGCGAGGGTCTCTTCCCGGCGTTCGTATGGAAGCTAACCCCGGTACGCGACCCCGAACTCCTTTGGCCCGCGCGGACCGGAAGGTGTCGCCCGGCGCGAAAATGACGGCTCAAACCCGGCCCGCCACGCGGTCGCCGGTCGGCCGAACGCACCGAAACTCGGGATTCCGGCTCACAAACGGGACTGATTAATTGGCACGAGACGGATGCGGAAAATGACGGGAATGGCTCGCGGCACGATAGGCGGGATTTAAAAATGGCGCGACTTGCAAGGAAGGTACCTGAGGTGTCTCCCTCCGATTTTGTTCATTTTTAAATATGTTATAGAGGACTAAAATCTAAGGGACCCGTGTTTTTTTTTATCGGCGGATAAACACTTTTAGGGGGTGAAATCAGGCTTCAAAGTTGGCCGTGCAAGGGGGTGAGTTTGCTGTTTCATATAGAAGCACTCGACCGATTTTCATGAAATAACCGTCAAAATCTAGGGAATAAAGAATTTTGAAACATGCATTTGGAACTTTTAAAAAAAATTCATTTTTAAGGGGTGAGCCAACCCTCTGAATACTTCATTTACCCTGTGACGTGGTATATTTTTGCCACCCCACGGCGACCCCAAATTTCGGCCGACATCTCTTTTTTTAAGCATTCTTTGGTTGCAGAGTCCGAGGTCCGACGGTCACCGACCCGGGGGAGAGGGAGAGAATGCCTAATCAATAATTCTTTAGTAATTTGTTACAGCCTAATTTAGCGATCCGCGGGAACTCTTTCCAATTTCCTGTGAGGGATCATTCATTGGTAGTTTAATTTTCTTTGTCTGGCGGAAGTTTGTGAACGGTTTTGACTTCCGCCGAGACTAATGTTCGAGTCCGGTAGAGTCATTTTTCTCACGCCGGTTTGTGAATGGTTTGGGCCCGCGGCGGGAAAAGTGCCCTTTTCGAGATATTTTGGAAGTGATCGTTCCCCGAAAATTTGCGAATGGTTTTGATTTTCGGTGCGGAGATCTTATGATTGTGTCAATTTAGAGTCCTTTGTCACGGCCAGAAGTCGAGTCCTAGGCGCGTCCAGTATCTTTCCCTCGGGGTCGGAGGCGGAGAAGCCGCGCGGCGATCACGTGGTCGCCCGCGTCCGCGACCCATTTTCATCCCCGGAAAGCCCGCTTTTCTTCCGGTCGAAGTTGCGATATGCTTGAGTTTGTTTCGCCAACTTTGGATTTTTGAGTTTAGTCTGCCGAATAATTTTGAGAGTAGGTTTGCGACTCGTCCGTCGAATGAATTTTGTATAACGTTGCGGAAATTTAGAGTCAAGAACATGTCGTGTAATTTCGAGTCCATTAGTCCATAAACGCGAGCGCAAGTATTTGAATTATTGAATTGTATTTTGATTGTGTGCGAGTTAGAGCTTAGCCGGCCCATATTGTTTATTATAGCGAACCCGTTGCGTATTCTCTGTATGATTTGAATTACCGAATTNATTTTGAGTTGTTGAGATTTTCGAGAGTTGAGAGTTTGCCGTCGAGTATTTTTGGCCTCCTGGGAGGCCTGGCGCCCAACTTTGTGTCTCGTTCCCGAAACCGGGAAATAATTTTGAGTGGCTCGAACGGATCCGCCTAGACGATCGGGCGAAGGTGACGAGCAATCGTCCGGGCGCTGCGAGCCCGGAATTCCCCCCCGAACAAAGTGTCCGTTGTCGACACCGTTCCTCGTATTGTTCCTATCCGTCACAACCCCTTACGCGAGCAGTAATTGCTGTATCCAAATGAAACTTAGTTAATTTATAGACCAGAACAATACAAAAAAAGTTTCATTTGGATAGAACTATTACTGCTCGCGTAAAAGGTAAAAGAAGTAATCAAAGGGGCAGCTCACCCCTTAAAAATGAATTATTTCGAAAAATTCCAAATGCATGTTTCATAATTCTTCATTCCCTACATTTTGACCGTTGTTTCATGAAAATCGGTCGAGTGCTTCTATATGAAACAGCCAACTCACCCCCTTGCACGGGCAATCATGAAGCCTGATTTCACCCCCTAAAAGTGTTTATCCACCGATAAAAAAAATACGGGTCCTATAGATTTTAGTCCTCTATAACATATTTAAAAATGAATAAAATCGTAGGGGGACACCTCCGGTACCTACCTTGTTAGTTTATTGGATAAAAGTTATGGAAGATTTATAAGAAACAACAAATTAAGCGCGCGCGCGTGTGTATGTATGTGTGTATTTCTAAATACCTTAATTCGTTTTCTGGATTTGCTGTCCGTTCACTGGCGTCGCATTAAGGTTGAGATGCGTGATCGCGTGAAGTGAAACTGACTACAAGTCGATGCAAAAGAGAATAGTTTCGGAATCTTGATCTAACGAAAATTTGATGTATCTTTAAAAATTTCACGATTAGTCTCGAAAATTAGACTGAATACGTAATAAGTGAGTCGAAGACTTGACTGAATAAGTAATAAGGAGTAGTCCAAAGTATAAACCAAACCATAAGTGTCGCTCGCTGCTTAAGTTCTAACTTCTATAGGATTTCCACCTCCGACGTTTGACTCCCGAAATTCCGGCAGTCGGGCGTGAAAATGACAAGTCCCCGATGGTGGGATTTGGAAAGAATTTCCCATTGGAGGAAAGAGTTAAAACCATGTTTTAAGGAAAGGAGTAGGTTTAGGAAAGATCTCTTATTGGAGGAAGGAGTTAAAGAATACGTTCTAGGGAGAGGAGTAAGATTAGGAAAAATCTCCTGTTGGAGGAAGGGGTTGAAGAATATGATTTAGGAAGAGGAGTTCGTAGAGAAGAATTTGGGAGAAGTGTCCCTGGGAGACGGAAGTTAATGTTTACTTTTCTGGGAATAGATTATTAATGTCGCCGTTCTGCCGGGACTCACGAGCTTGCCCGTGCAGGAATGGTATCCGTCATTGCGGGATCGCCTTTGCCTAAATATTCTGAATATTACGAGGAGCAGCTAGGTTCGCGGTCTTCGAGACCCCTTTCGACTAATCTACTATTTACGTAGTGGTGACGTCAGCCTGTCGCGAGAACTAAAATGGGGGGCCCTCGGTTGTCTGGATTGAAAAGAACGAGATTTAGACTCGATGTGTCTATCACTTTGAAGAAGAAAAGTCCTGGGCCTCTCAGGCTAGTTCGATACGCGGGCCGATGCACGCACAGGGAGCGTTACGTGGGACGTAACACTACCCTTCAGGCGAAATTTTTGTGTAATATCTATTTAACAAGCACTCCTACTTAAGTTCCACTTACGCCCTGTGATTGCTCACGAAAAATGAGGAAATACGTGTCTTTTGCTTTTTGCCAATAAACATTTATACATCGGTTGAAAAGAATGGATGTAGGTGGTATATGGGTATATCCCGACTATCTTTATTGGGTTATATCGTGATCAATTCATTGTACATAAATCGTGTAAACGTGCTAATTCCACAAAATGTCGTTGGGTTTCATAACATGCAATTATTTATAAATAAATTAAAAAAAACAGTTTAAGAGACTGAAATTGTGTCGCAACAGATTTGATGGCGACATAACCAAATAAAGATAGTCGCGATATACCCATGTACCACTTACATCCATTCTTTTCAACCGATGTATAAATGTATATTGGCAAAAAGCAAAAAACACGTATTTTCTAATTTTTCGTGAGCAATCACATGGCGTAAGTGAAACTTAAGTAGGAGTGCTTGTTTAATAAATATTATCAAAAGATTTCGCCTGAAGGGTAGTTCACCCCGTTGAGGTGGTGTAGCATTATTGGACAATATTGTGTTTTCACCGTCCTTATACAGAATACGTTTATGCCAAATTTCATCGAAATCCTTCCACTGCTTCTACGAAAATTAATATAAAAATCGAATTTTCGTCAAATCTTGGGGGGTTGGTTCACCCCTTAAATGTGGACCATTGCAGATAAAAAAAAAACACGTGTCTCTTAGATTTTTGGGTTCTTCGACATATATGAAAATTAATACGATCGGTGGTGGACATTTGGGAATGTTTTCTTGTGGGGCTAGTCAGCTCTGGAGATTGCCTGAATCTTCAACGGCCAATGTTAGGTCGGGGATCGTTTGCTCCGGAGCAACGATAACGGATGCCTGAAGACATCGATCGGACCGGGCCCCGTGGGTCGTTTGGGGACTCGCTTCCAGATGGTTGAAACCAGCCAAAGCCCTCGTCGAGTAAAGTAATAAAGATACTTTATTTCAGGTGCCTCGTGGTTTATAGGAATGACTCGTAGACTTGTCGGCTTAGGAACTATTCGCCTAGAGTTACAGGTGCCTCGCACGCAGGTTACAGAGTTGAAACAGTTGAATTCCTAGGTCGAGTTAAGACATTCAAAACTTCGCTGGTCAGAGAGGGAGCCCTTCGGAGTGGGCTTTTTTATATTAAATCGGAGCGTGCCTAGATGTGGAGAAGGATGCTTATTGGTGGGTTTTTAAGATCGAGAAGGGTAATGTCTCGTGTGATTGGTTAGGGAACAGGTTGAAGGGGAAACAGGTGGAAAGTCATGTTTTCCAGAGAATCCGAACGTTTGCCTTTCCCAGGGGCTGTTATCTGGTTTGGGATGTGGAAGTATGTAGGGAAAATAAGGGGAGATGAAGAGCGAGGGAGAGCGTGTCCCTAGGAGCGTTTTGGAGCACAAGACGCGCTGCTTTAAGTTTCTTTCCTAATATTGCTTAAAATAAAATGTTAGGTAGGGACCTAACACCAAATGCCCGCAACAACCAATAATACGTCACGCCGCGCCATCTACAGGTATACTGGACACGTTTCGACGTGTTTAGCATTGTTCTCAAACGAGAAGAAGCATCAGAATCCCGTGATTGAATTTAGACGATTTGATTGGTTAAGTTTACATCTTAGTATGTATTTTTCCACTGCAGCGTATATTTATCCGCATCAATATGTAAATTTGCTATGTAACACGTATATTTACGTAGATGGGAAAGGTCTTACATGCCAGGAGAAAAATTACAATGAAACGTTACATTTAATTCTAGTAAAAATGCAGCAATGCTGCAAATATACAATGTCACGGGCATTTATACATTGTCTGATTTGTAATTTTTCCATTGTACGTTTTTTTTTTATGCAAAACTTCTGTTATGTAGGATGTAAAAATGTATGTAAATTTCCATCGATCTTTTTTCAGTGTATTTTTATCTTCCTTCTAGAGAGAGCACTTCCGTTCCGGATTCATGTTACTAGAACTGGGACAACTAAAATATTTACTAAAGTCTTTGGAATTCGAGACTGATCCTAGAACTCGAAGTTTCGGTGGAGGGTGTTTTTTGAATTGTTTTATGTACTGTCCCCAAAAATCCGGCTTGACGTATGCACACATAGTCTAAAAAGAAAACCATTTCCGGCGTGACAATAAAATTTCTTTGAGAAAGTGCGTTTGCCACACTTTTTCCTAGAGAACTTACATTAGCGAAGGACAAAAAGAACAACTGTTCATTTGTGAACTGTTCAAGGCCACATTGTTTTCGAAGACTTTTAGATCTTGTGTTCGATTCCGTCATTAAAGCTTGAAAGCTCAATTCAAGTCCTAAACTGTCGGCGAAATTTTCATCAACTGTTCTTTGGCTGCCAGCCTGTAAAAATTCGCGTAAACGTATTTAAAATATTTCTTCTTGTTCCTCTGTTATTATATTATTATTGTACCGGTCGCCATTAAAATTGCAACAACGTGAAATAGGGAGCAGAAATATGGAAAATTTTGCAATAAATTTCTATCACTTCGAAGTGATAAATTATGAAAATGTCGAATATTCTCAACAAGAAGTACAAAACATTTAATAGAAAGAATAAGCTATAGCTATTAAATCTGCAATCGTCAATGATATTTCTTGCTTTTAATTCTTGGTCTTGAACTATTAATGGCTACCAGAGTAAATTAATTTAATTGATAAATTTACGTGATTTTTGTCATTTGACTTACTTCTGGATAATCATATTTCTTGAACTGATCGATTAAACATTTTGCGTTGTGAATGAACATAATATTTGCTCGCTTGGACCACCAATTGCCAACTTGACAATGTTCATTGTATTTTCTCCCTGTGAAAAGAATCATGCATGGAATGTATACCAAATTTAATCTACCCCTGAATTGCTGCATATAATAATTTCACGCGCCAGGCTGAACATCGCAGATAATAACTAGGTCTGAGTTTCGCGCCTATATATATATATATATTGCTATGGGAATTCCTATCCCTAATCGTCAAACCGTCATACGCCCGGGGGTAATTAGGCAAAAGGGTGTCAAGCCCAATCATCGGCCCTTCTGGGAGTCCGATTTATTTAGGGTGCCAGGTGCGCACGCGCACTTCTGGATCCCGGTACCCGGTAGCGCGAGCAAGCCGACTCGGTCCGGTCAACGGGACTTACGCGGGCGTATCCGGCCGGCCACTCAGCCCCGCGAGGACCTTACGTCTTTCGCAGCACGGTCTTTCGCAGTCGGGCGGTTCGGTACGAAGGAGGCGCGAGTGAGGAGGAGTCGATCTCTAAATTCGCCGAAACGGCAGGGTCAATGAAATAATATAGCAAAAGGTTGCGACAGACAATCCCTTCCGGAGATCTATTCCGTGAACGGGACCCTACCACGGAAGCGCGTCACAATATCATAACGGACTCTACGCACAGAGTCGGGACGGGAAAACTAAAGCAAGGGACCAGCAAACTAACAGGACCAATTCAGAAAGATAAGGTACGCGATCGAGAAAATCGAACACCCCGGTGAAAGTCCGAACAGGGTACAACATCCTAGCGGGAGGACCTTTTACGTGCCCCTTCGGAACTCGGTAAGAGCCCGGTGCCATCGGTAATTGCGCAAAACGGTATTCGGCACCGGCTAGCGGTATGGCCCTCCACTTCCCACCTACTCCGTCCTGCTCGCAAGCAGTCACGATACGAATTTCGTTAATTATTTAAGAAAACAAAGGTAACGACACGGGGCGCGATATAATCGAGCAGGTGGGAGCCTCCCCCCGTCGGAATTTTCCAATATAAAAATAAACGAACGCCTCCCGTGTCCCTTAACCATTTCGGGATCCTCAACTCGGGACACATGAAATTTACTCACGGGACGGTATAATGCTCCACGAAGGGCAGCGGCCCAGGTCTACCCGTTATTTGACACTTAACTTGGTCCCCCGGTTCACAGACACTACAGCTCAGATGGCGATATTTGATAGATGGCGCAGACCAGCCGCGAACATTTATACATTGCGGAATACGCTACAACGCACAAAAGCCGGGATCGAGAATTAACGATTACCCGGACATAAAACGAATTGTCGGCGATAACGGTTCGGAATCAGCTCACGGCGCGGATAAAGTGGGCAATGGCGGTCTATGGGGTCCCCGGGGCAGGTTCCGGCTCACCGGTAGGAAGTTTGCTCGGAAGGACGGCCCCGCTCCTCTCTTCCAGCGGCAGCGTTGCTACGCCTCTTCGAGATGGTCAACACGACGCCCTTCGGGATGGTCAGTATGACACCCTTCGGGATGGTCGGCATGGCGCCCATCGGGATTAATCGGGAACGAGGCGCTGCCGCTGACGGGATGGGACGACGGAAGTTGTGGCCGATACGGTAGTCCCTCTGGCAATGCCAGATACGCCAGAAGACCCTTCGTTCCGGCGCCGATATTTTCCTAATAGGCCTCGCGGAACTTCTTACCGGGCATCAATTTGCCATCTCGCCTAGTCTAAATAGGTCGATAGGCCGCCTAATTAGGGCGGCCGCCGACGGATGGCAGTAGGACCCCCAAATTCGGGGCCCCGCGCGCTGTCTGTGAGCCTGTGAAAATTATATCCGCGCGCCCGATGCACCCGACGCCTGCGCACCGCTGAGTCTGTCACAAGTTTTACATACATTTTAGTATAATACAAAGCTTGTTCTAATGATTGCCAAACGGACTCCTCCCCGCTCTGGCACCGAGATTCCCTTGTGATGAGCAAAGACTTTTGCTACGTCATTATATATATTTGGCGCGACACTCTACCGGGTTCCTTATTCTACTTAAGAAGAAGATTTGTAAACACTCATAAATTAACTTATACAAAAATAACTTACCCTTCGTATCTAAAGAATGTGATAACTCATGACCGATTATGTACCCAATTGCACCGTACAACATGGCCCTGTATTTAATAAAACAATTTCAAAATCCGTTATGACACAGGTGTAAAAATTGTAAGTATAACAATTAACAATATGTAAAATTATGAATTCATCGCTACGTACATCGGGGCATCTGTTGCAAAGTAAGGCCATTGAAAAAGACCGCCAGGTATAGCTGTAATTTATATTGAAATCAATTATTGATATTCAATTTGTCTTAAAATAAATTCCCATAAACGTGAGAATAATTAATATTATTCAAAGTAAATTTTTACTAAATATATTTAGGCGAAGGTGATATTATTTTAAAAATTATCCAGGTATAGCTGGAATTTACATTGAAATCGCGATATAATGTTAAATTTTTCTCCAAATAAATTCCCACAAGCATGAGAATTATTATTATTCAATGTAAATTTCTACTAAATATAATCAGGCAAAGATGAAATTCTTTTAAAAATCGTAATTACCTATGGTGTTAAAACCCACATGGTAAAAGGCGTTTTCGATAATAACTTTACCGTTCCACCTGAAATTAGTGAGAGTAGTAATGAAAGAATAAGTTAATCAGTATATAGATATTTTACAATATAGGAAATATTACATTATAGACTCTCGTACGTCGTCCAATGGCTTTGTGAATAATGCCAATTGTTTTTTCAGATCGTGCTCCTTGCAATTAATCATGTTTTTTAAGTGGTCTGAACCAATTGTTAACTGCAATAAAATATATATTTCATAAATGAAACGATTTGTAAACTTCATGTTATTTTACAAACAATTGCTAGGATTACTTACATCACTGTAATATTCATTGATAGCAGAAATGCTATACCAACTCGGACGATTAACATAAATCTTTATGTTTTTAACTTTTCGAAGTAATGCCTTCTTATCGACGTCCGGAAGCCAGGGCCATGTCATGACTTTCCTTTCCAACTGTTCCTGAATTCTTTTGGCAAGATTTGTAACCTAGTGTATAAAAAGTGTGCTGTAAAATATAATTTTATAGCGATTGTATAGATTTTAAATATGGCAGTGCACATAATCGCATTTAATCTATACTTACATAGAATTAAGGTGAAGTGAAACACGTCGAGGAACTTGATCGACGTCGGTAAAAGAGATTTTTCTAATTACCTACGTTGCCGACGATCGATTTTATACTTACAACTGTTTCGAAGTATATTGGGTATTGTACTAAATGGAATACTCCACCTGCCGTTGTCATACAATAATTATGGAGAAATCGAAGTAAAACTCCAGAATTCCCTAGATTCGGGGTTTCTCAGGCCCTAATTGATACTGGGAACATCCTGCGCCATCTGTGATTTCCATGCCAACTAAATTTTCACTCCGAGACCTTGTATTACCATTGATTTTGCATAGAAGCACATAAGACACTTTTTTTGCCTTTATCCCGTTTAAATGCGAGTTTCTCGATTACCAGAGTGTTCTGAATTGTTGCACAATTGTCCTGACACATTCGTTTCTTATATTAGGGCCTTCAATAATTGTATATTGAATGAAACATGTTTCGAGAGCTGAGAGCTCGATGCCATTTTGATTCTGATCTGAACTAACAATAAGTTAAACAATTTTTTGCAAAAATAAAAATGTTTAATATGTCAGGGCAATTTTTAGATGATCATGAGGCATGTATCAAGATTTCAGTCTTCTGTCAAAAGACAGTTTGGTCCAGTACCCTTAAAAAAAAAGTGTCTTATTCGAATCGATTGCTTTAAGGGGGGTTTCACTTCACCTTAATTAGTACTTAAACGAAATTTCTAAAACCTTCTAATAAATATTTTTTGGAAATGGTCTTCATCCGAGAATACTTACGATGGAAACACTCGAATCAGAAATGTAATTCTTCGTGTATTTATAATTAATTGGATGCATTATAGGGAGTTCTTGCAGACAATGGGTCCACCTGTAAAAAGTAAGATCTATGGAAATATACAAATAATATACAAAAAAAAAGCGTTAGCACACCAATCTGAAACAGAATAAAATTTACATGAGGATAACATCATGGTGATAACACCTCCAAATCAATGATGTCTTTCTGACTTACCTTGTATATTTGTTCTAACCTGTTTTAAATGATTTCATATTCCAATTTTCGGAGAAGAATTAATGTATAAAGTTCTAACCTGTCCATTTTACCTCCGAATTTTTGCCAAAATTCACCGATACTGTATTTTAACATGTTGCCGACGAATCGCCAATGTATGTAGTTTACTGAATGAAAAAATTGACGATGATGTAGTTTGTTACATGTATGAAGTAATGGTAACTATTAACAGTGGTTTACCTAGGATTCGAGGATTTACAGTATTTAGCAGTGAAGGAAGTCCAAGGAAATACTCAAGTTCGTGTATATAAACCTTTTCAGAACCAGTGACTCGAACTCCAGAGACTTTGAGAAGATTGTTCACTTTCTTCAACCAATCTATCTGAAATTTTCACATTACAAATACGTAAATTCAACAAATTAAAGTAACTGAAATATTATGAATACTGTAATCTGGTGGATCGGTAGCTTCTCACATTTAAGGGACATCGCGTCCTCGAGGAGGAAGGGGTGCAGCTGCCGACCAGCCCTACATACCGTTAGCGCAAATAAGTTGTGCGCGAGCGTCACTAGCGAACGCTCCAACGTTTATTAGGGGATATATTAGGGGCTAATTATGGGAAATAATACGGGATGCTATGAAAAATAAGAGTTTTGTATGGGATTGGAATCGACTCCGGGCGATTCGGGCCGGGAGGATGTTCGGAAGAATAAGGCTACGACCTTAACGGCGTTCACCACCAAAGTGGGGACGATGACTTCCACCGCTAGATGGCATTAGCATCGAATTCGGTGGGAGGTAACCAAAACGTACTTTCTCGCTCGGATGAGGGAGACGCGACGCATAATGGGCAGTGTTTAGCAACGGACGAAAAATGTGAGCGTATTTTGCACGTATACAACTCACACAACGGCTAGACGCCTCTGGACTAGGCGCCGAAACGTGTGTGACACTCGGCCGCACGCACACGCAAGTTGGACGCTCCGCCTAGAGTCGGCAACGGTTGCTAAGGAATGCCCAAATTCCTCGCGAGAAACTTGAAAATCCTGAAAAAGGTGCTCCACGGGGACAACGATTTTGAGCGTATTTCTCAACCGATTGAGCTCAACGAGTGCTCGTTTTAAAGATAAAATGTTGACGTGTGTTTATATGGGAGCGATTTTCGATCAAGCACCTCCTTCCTAGGTAAAAGGGCATTGAAATTATGTCGTTGCACTTTTTTATATGAAAATGACCACTTATCGAAAATCGCTCCCATATAAACACAGGTCAACATTTCATCTTCGATATGAGCACTCGTTAAGCTCGATCGGTTTAGAAATACGTTCGAAATCGTTGTCCCCGTGAGGCCCTGCAAACTCGCTGGAGTGGTGAGCGCCCTTAAGAAAGTGCACGCCTTTGGGGTTCGCTCATGCGGCCCTGAAGTAGCGGCAGGATTTTGCGCCGCTCATGCGGTCCTGTCGCGCGCGGCGAGGCCTGGGCCGCCGTTGCCGCGCTGCTCCGGGAACGCGGGAGGATTGTTCGGCCGACGCGGCGCCGCCGGGCTGGAGCCAATTACAGCTCAGCTCGCGAGGCCGCCCGGCCAATCCGTGCCCCGGAGACTGCCGAAAAAGGACCCGGCACCGCATACGTGCCGGGAACTGCAATCATTCGGAGAAGCCGTAGCCGAGAGAAGAGTGCGTAGCAAGCAAAATTTGAGATAAAGAAAAAGAGACCGACGAGTCTGAGGAAGCTACTATGTTACAGAAGGGTCGCCGAACCCCCGCGTCCAAGTAAGTCATAGGGGAAGATCCGCGGAATCTACAGGGAAAAATCTGCGAAATCATAGGCGAATATTCGCGAGCGAATTTTAGGGGAAATCGCGCATGGCGAGACACGCATGGGCGTAGCAAGCAAAACTTGAGATATAGAAAAAGAGACCGCGAGTCCGAGGAAGCTATTACGTTGCAGAAGGGTCGCCGAACCCCCGCGTCCAAGTAAGTAATAGGGGAAGATCCGCGGAATCTACAGGGAAAAATCTGCGACATCATAGGCGAATATTCGCGATGGAATTTTAGGGGAAATCGCGCATGGCGAGACACGCATGGGCGTAGCAAGCAAAACTTGAGATAAAGAAAAAGAGACCGCGAGTCCGAGGAAGCTACTACGTTGCAGAAGGGTCGCCGAACCCCCGCGTCCAAGTAAGTAATAGGGGAAGATCCGCGGAATCTACAGGGAAATATCTGCGACATCATAGGCGAATATTCGCGAGCGAATTTTAGGGGAAATCAGGCATGGCGAGACACGCATGGGCGTAGCAAGCAAAATTTGAGATAAAGAAAAAGAGACCGACGAGTCCGAGGAAGCTACTACGTTACAGAAGAGTCGCCGAACCCCCGCGTCCAAGTAAGTCATAGGGGAAGATTCGCGGAATCTACAGGGAAAAATCTGCGACATCATAGGCGAATATTCGCGAGCGAATTTTAGGGGAAATCGCGCATGGCGAGACACGCATGGGCGTTTGCGAGTGGCGGCCGCCCGCGAATTTTTTAGTTAGAGCCTAAGATTTAGGGCCGCCGACGTGCGGCTGGCGCCCAACGAGTGTGTCACGATAATAAAGAATTTTTACGTTAAATAAGAATCTACAGTAAGCGTCGTTTTATTGTGACGGAAACCACGTCGCAATATCTACAAGAATTTACGAATTCACTTTTTTCAATCAATCTATCTGAAATTTTTCACATTACAAATACGAAAATTCAACACAACAAAGTTACTGAAATATTATAAATATCTACAAAAATTAATGAATATGTGCAAACTTCACATATTTAGGGCGATTTATACAATTCAAATTGTTGTCACTCTAATTAGGAAACCAAATTTAAGTTCTTAATACCTTTGCGGCGTTTTGTGGATTCTTTAAATTATATCTTTGCTGTAGTTGGTCTAATGTTAATACCACAGCTGACGATTTTTCAGGGTTTTGGATGAACATCCTCCTTAGCTGAAATAAATGTGTAATTGTTAAATTTTATTAATTTTGTTAAATCATCATAAGACTAAGTGATAAGGCGAAACAATTTGTTACCTCAACAAGATGTTTCTCGAATATGACTATATTACTGACGTCAGTAGTAAGCGAGTCAGGTTCATTTGTTCCTTGATGTCTCATTAAAGCAGTCATTACCTTCAGTATATTTTTATTATACTTACCGAGCGGACTTTCATACTTTCCAGAAAGCAGATAATTTTGTAAAGGCAACATAAAGTTTGGATAGGTTAGCTGAAAACCAAATGTTCACAACATCCACATTTATAGGAATTTCGTTTCCATAATATAACACAACGCTATCAATACATGTCTATATATTTTTCTAATCCCTTATGGAAATATCGTCATCAAATGTATTTGGCGCGAAACTCTGTCTACAAAATTGTTGACAGAATTTCTATTGCCAATTATAATTATCATTGAAGATGAACGGTACAACATATCGTCGTACTTTAATTAACAATTCCGTGCCAAACAATTTAGAAACTGAGAAACTCGAAAGAGTTTTGCGTCAAATATATTAGTGCGAGGTATCGACAATTAAATTACAGTCAGATCCTACACTGGTAACAATATTTCATTGAATCAAAGAATTGTTTCTTTGAACAGTACCAAAGTATTTAGTTACTTCAAATAATAAATATATGACTCAAATAAACTCGAACAAATTAGTTGCCACATTTCTTCGGAATTATGCCATTTTATTTGAGTTTAATTCAGTCAAATAATTATTCTTTGAAATTAACAAAATATTTCCTTGGCACTATTCAAAGAAATATCTCTTTAAATCAATAAACTTTAGAATTATAGCAAGCTAATCTTCCACTGATAACAAAATTTCATTGAACCAAAGAATTGTTTCTTTGAAAGTACCAAAGAAGTATTTCGTTAATTTATAGGATAATTACTTGACCCATATAAACTCAAATAAATTAAATGCCAATTTATTTGAGTTAATTTCAGTCAAATTCTTTGAAATTAACAAAATATTTCTTTGGCATTATTCAAAGAAATATTTCTTTAGATCAATAAATTTTTATTCTCGGTGTTTTATATTCGGATTACCTATTTCAACTTGAATCTTACCGCAATTATCATTTTGTTCTGTCTGTCACTGTACTGAGAATATCTAATAGTAATGTTGTACATTGCAGAACTTCCGGTGAGTCTTGTATAATACTCATCGATATCATGCCATGAATAAGTATTTGGATTCCATTCGGTAGAAGTCATCGTCATCGGCCATCCTCCTTTTTTATTTACGTAGAATAAGATGGAACTCAATCCAGCCTTGTCGATTTCAGCTGCAATATCATTTCGTTTACTCTAATTTATTCGTTTCTGACTGCATACATTTTTACCATCATTAAGACAAGTGTCCATCCATTGTTTTGCCTTTCCCAGCGCTCCAGCATTGGAGTGAATTTTTTCAAAAATATCTACCGACAATAAAATAGCAATTACTGATTGCGTGATATCAAATTCGTTTCCAGACGCGCTTTAAATTCTATCATTCGGGAATTTAGCAGTTAAATATATTTATACACTTTGTTTACCTCTTATTCGTTCTTTATTCCTACTTTTCAGTAAATGTTCAGTAAGCAATACATTTACAGAATCATTTATCAGTTGTAATTCCCTCCAATTACCGCAAGCATACTCGTAAAAATCATCGCAAGGTTCATCTCCTTTTTGGTTTCGTACAATTTCAGGACCTGAAGAATCCAACTGATTAATTCGCCAATTCAGATGTTTATCAGTATTCATGAAGTATAAACAAAAAAGTGAATCATCCAGGCAACCCATGAAGTGGAATATACATAAACTAATCGTCTAAATTAGATCTATAGGTACAGCAAATGTATATCGTCCATCATCCACATAAAAAAATATCTACAGGATATGTATAAATATTTATGTCTATTGTAGATGACAATTACATATCTACTACTGACCTACAAATATCTACATATTTCTTGACCCATACAAAATATATAATGGCTCTAGTAGACATCTCCCAAAGCTTAATCAACATCGATGAAAATACGTTTAGAAAAATAAAAAGACACCTCATGTAACAACATGTTTAATACATACTTAATGATTATATATAAATTCCTACTTGATAAAACTGTTAATTTCGTCCATACTCCGATTTTTCATTTTCTTCCTCTATGCCTGGTGACCATACATCATGATTTTTTACCACTATATAAATTATGATGAATTACCAGCCACCTTATGAAGTATGACATACTTATAGTGGACGTACACATTTGGATATAAGTATAGAAAACTTATATTATTTATGGTATGCATAATAAAAATATTCTGTGAATACTGTGACGTGGCCGTCCCAAGTCGGTGCGGAGCGGGAGCGGTAAGTACCGAGATCCTTAATAAATTATTTTCAGTATGGGATGGTGACGCTCGGGGTATCCAGGAACAGTCCCTAATTGTAAGTAGCGTATTTATTATGTAATTTGTAAGAAGGTACCGTGTCGGGGAGGATCTTCAAGGAGGACGTTAAATATCGCGAAATTGACGGTCTTCAGGGGCCGGGACGGTGCGTAGCGCGCCGCGAGACGTGGCCTGACATCTTACGTAGGCCTAGTTAATCACCTAGCGCCAAACGGTCTCGCGTATGCGGGAAGAGTCTAGCGAGGGGTTTCCTAATTCCCGGTGGTCCTGCCGGCGCTCGGACCGGCATTGTCCTGGATACTCCGAGCGCCGACGGACGTGTGACTCCCGACTACCGAAATGCCTACCGTCGCCACCGAGAAGGAACCGTCCCGTCTCTGTACCGCCGCTACCGTTAAACGTGAGCAAACCCACAAGGGATTATCGTAGAATCCGTTTCCGTTCATCCGTATTGTAATAATTATGTGATCCTCCTCGGCGCGTACCTCCCGGCCAGTTGGTAATGGCGTCGGACCGCGTGCGCCGGACGTGCTATAATTAATTTCCGCGTGTTCGACCGGTTCGCTCTCGTGGCGGTTTATGTTGTCGTTCGTCAAGTGATCCCGCGGCTCCCGAATTAATCCGAGTGAAAAGAATACCCGCTGCCTCCGGAGTCGAGTCGTGACGGGCCGAGAGGCGAGCGGAGTTGTAGAGAGCGTTGTGCTCTGGAGGGTAGGCCGTGCCTCCCGAAAAGCACCCAGACCCAAAAGGAAGACGGAAGTCCTAAAACCTCTCGGAGTGCCCTGATCTTTTCGAGTCAGCGCCTGGCCGAAATCAAGGCGGTACTCCAGGCATCGACCCCGCGAATCGCGGAACGAGCAACGCCCGCGAGATTTACGTCCGTGGAGACCCGGACCCCCGTCTGGAGGCTGATCCCTATCGATCTTCCTCCCGTAGAAAAGCGGAGAGAACAGCCGGAGGAGCAAAAGTCCACTCCCGAGGAAGCCCCCGAATTGATAGTTATCGACGATTAAAATATATTGAGCACAATTACACTAGTATTCTTTTACCCATTATCCCAGGCGTAACAATGCTAAAATAGCAAAGTTGCTTTTTTTGTAATATTAGACCAAGAAGTTAATCAAGAACGCTTGGTAATTACACTTCGTGTCAAATCCCAAGGAAAATGGAATATGCGTTTAAAAATAGATAAGATAAAAATTTTAAATGGTGACGAAAGAAAAATCTGTTATTATCCTATAAGATGTTGCGACGTCTCACTTGGTGGAGAAATCATGAGCTGAATGTTGTTTGGAATTACGTATATGAATTTTAGATAACGATAGTTGAACTTTTGGGGTCCTCAGCGAACGCCCTACGCGGACGTTTCGACACTAGTAGGTTCTAAAGCAGCTGAAGGAGAAACTAGGGGAAGATCGAATAAAGCGAAAGAATGATTTTCAATTTTCAATGAAAAGGAATTTACTCAAAAAACCTGTCGAAGGTGACAAAAAGGAAAGGGAAGAATTCGAGACAGAGAACTACTGCTCGCGAGTAGTGTGTATGTGCGGTGTGATTAGACAACTACCTTGGGCGTTGATCAGTTGAATGTATCAGTATTGGGAACGTATTGAACTGATAGTATTAAAACTAAAGTACTTGCATTCGTATCACTGTATCGTTGGAATTTCTACGTACGATATATTTATTCACATTCTTAGAGTATATAGGTTTAACACGTATAAAACTTAAAAGCATCATTTACATCCTTTTTTGTACCACCTGTCAGTGTACATTTTAAATACAAAAACCGTAATTCTAAATTCAGTAAAAGTATAACGTACAGATGCGAATATATTGGAGACTAACGCATGTAATTTTGTTTTCATCACATAGATGCAACAAATGTATACATTTTGTGTTGATCAATGTACATATATGGTACATATTTGCACCATATATTTGTAGACATATAGTACATACTTGTATCGTATACGTGATTATATTATGCATTGTGTGTTTTCAGGACTGTCTTTTTTGCTAATAGGTAGTAATCAGGACAGTCCTGAAAATTACTGATTAATAGGAAATACTTGTTATCTCATTGCATATACCCAAATGTGACGCTCACATCCAGTGAATATCATTGCCGAATGTTAATGACAGATAATGACCACTTCAGGCTTCAAATCTGTTTTTTGAATTTCAACAATTCCTACACGTGTGTAAGGAGTCTAAACTTTATCCTTCTGGCACAAAGGCAATTGAAGCTCTGATTTATTTTATTCTACTGTCCATCACTCCACCTATTATATGTGTGTACAACAATCTCACGATCTTGACTGGTCCACTTTAACATATTATTGACCGGCAATTTTACAACGCTAGTCATTCCGGCGCGACTTAACTTGTCACCGGTCAACAACGTGTTAATCACTTACAAATAATTACTGATCAGTCCCAACCAAAAATGGCAAAGGAACTTTCAATCGCAAATTCTTATCCCTGCCTGTCCTTTGGAGGTTAGATGGTTGTTCTTTAACAACCATATTTCAAGGTTCATCACATTATTAAACAAATAAGATGACATGAAAGTAACATCCGAGGGGTCAATCGTTCATGAAACATTTGGGTAGACTTGTACTGAATCATTCGAAATTTTATCCCAAAAATGTAGACACCCGAAGGAAGGTCCTGGCATCCGTAAAATTTCATTTTTTATAAAGAGTGTTAAAAATATCTATAAAGACATTTTTTTAACCCCTTAAGTAGGGCGGAGTCAGATGCGGAGATGTGCCACCTGTACGGGGATCTTGTTCGTGGAGTGTTCATATTTTATATGAATACGATATTGATTTATCGCTTTGAATTCATGGGAATGAAGAGAGCCGCTATAATGGCGCTTTGCCATTAAAGGGTCAAATTAAAATTCCATTGAAGTCCTTCCTTAGGACCCTGATATTCACGTGATAAAGTTTGAAATAATTCGGTACACCCAAGTCGGAGAAAAGTTTCATAAACAAGACCTCTCCAATGCTATGTTCACATCACTTTAATTCACACATCCATTTTTATTGTGTTTATTCCTAGATCAAAATGTTCGGAGAAAATTGTAGAGTTTATGATGATCAAAATATTTGTTGAGCAACAATCATAGATAACTGCCCCATCTCACGACAATGTTTTGAAATCTATTAATACGTGTGAAGACCCGAAAAACACCTATCGCTCCAGAACGTCCTGGAAACTGCCAATACTTCAATGGTCCTGAAAGCTACCGATAGGGCTAAATTCTTGCATATATTTTTGCTCTCAGGTAATGAAACAAAAAAGCCTTATGAAACTTATTCGAGTTTGAGTTGTTAAATTTAAATGTCGAATATTCAAAACATTTAATGAGAAAAATTGTAGATAATCGTTCTATTTCACTACATGTCCTGAAATCTACCAATACGCGTGTAGACCTGAAAAACACCTAACGCTCCAAAACATCCTGGAAACAGGCAATACTTAACTGGTCCTGAAGGCTACCGATAGGGCTTTATTCTGCTTTATATTTTTGTTCTCAGATAATAAAACAAAAAACCTTATGATACTTTTTGTATTAATCCACACCACAAAAATAGCTAAAAAATGGTGCACCTTAAAAATATCCTACAACTGCCATTTGACACACACACACACACACACATTACGTCCCATATCCGGACATACCTTACATACGTTCAATAAACATTTATATACGATTAATTTACGTATATTCCACGTTCAGCGGTGCCTGAGCACTTACCAAAATCTATCGCTGAAGGAATCTTCAGAGGATTTATTTGAGAAACTTTAGACTTAGTCGAGCGTTCCGGTTTTGGCTTCAAAGCTAATGCAATGAAGAATGAAGTGAATACTATACTGCAAAATACAATCTTTCAATTATTCGAAACAGAGAAAGAAAATACAGAGATACTTACAATTGGAGACTCAAGAAGAAGGTCATTTTTCTGAAATCTTTCAGACGGCATAAAGAAGCCAATGTTTGCTTTCCTTCCAGGAAGTCTTCGCATTTTATGAGAAAACTGCATATTGCTATCTTTATCTACGTTCCTAATGCTTGATCGTGACCAACAAAACATTTGTGTGATAAAATTAAATGATATCATGCACGATGTACTTTTTCTCGGAATCGATGGAGGATTAAATATATTTACATACTTCTTTGCAACATTTTTCACTTGCAAGAAAATTGATTTTAGAGTAATAAAGTACGAAACGTTATGAAATCAGTTATGAAACATTCGAAATTGTTAATAATGCGCAACATGAATAAATGTATGATAGATTCATAATACGTGAGATGAAAACACAGCTGTTGTTCTTTATTAACCCATTTTTACCATACAGTTTATCTAATTTCTTAAAACACATTTCATATCAGGATTCATGATGTTTCCCTTTCGACATTTAAAATGAATTTTGAATTCTTTCACATTGACCCACGAACGACGTTTTCCTTACACGAAGTCTTCGCATTTTATGAAAGGATTGCATATTGTTCTCTTTATCTACTTCCCTAATGATCGACCATGACCAATGCATAAATTTTGTGTGTGAAGTTAAAAGATATCAAGCACGATGTACTATTTTTCAGGTTCGAAGGAGGCTAAAAATATTGAATTACTTCATTGCAAAATTTGTTCATTTACAAGAAAATTTATTTTTAGATAAAAGAAATACGAAACGTTATGAAATCATTTATGAAACACTCGAAACATCCTTTGTACTTTATTAACCGATTTTTAACACATGATTTATCTAATTCCATAAAGCACATTTTGTATCAGGATTCATGGGCCTCCCTTCGGGCATTTAAACGCTTCGCTGAATTCTTTCATATTTGACAAAGGTTCAATAACTCTCAACCGCGGAAGACTGTGAAACTGACGAAATTGTATGAGATAGGACAGATAATAAGGCGACATAACGCGCATCTCACCTGTTAAAACAAGATATAAATAAAACAGGTAACAATATTTAATAAAGAAGGGACTAATACAGTAATCGAGTATTGGATATGAATATCTCAAGACGATTTGACGACGTCCTAAGGTGAAATGAAACACGTCACGGAACTTGATCGACGTCGGTAAGAAAGGTTTTTCTAAATACCGATGTTGCCAACGTTTGTTTTTATATTGACAGCCGTATTGAATTGCATTGGGTATTGTACATAATAGCATACTCCACCCGTCGCTTTCGTATAAGAATTATAAAGAAATTGAAGTAAAACTCCAGAAATCCTCTGGATTGATGCTTTCTGAGAATCTAATTGACCGTAGAGGGACACCCTGCGCCATCTGCGATTTCCGTGTCAACTAAATTTTCAAACCGAGACCTTGTATTACCGTTGCCTTAACATGGCAGCCCAAAAGACACTTTTTTGCCTTTATCCCGTTCAAATGCGAGTTTATCGATTACCAGAGTGTTGTAAATTGTGGTACAATTATCGTGACCCTTTCGTTTCTCATATTTGAGCCTTGAGTAATTGGATATGGATCGAAAGATGAAAACCCGACGCCATTTTGGTTCTGGTATGGGCTAACAATTAGTTCGTTGTCGAAAAGCAACTGCCTCCTTCCTCCTCCAGTCCTATTGCCGAATTTTTCTAAACGTTTAGTGGGAGGGGCGAGGAAGGAATCTACGATATTATTGGTCGCTCGTCCGTGAGGACCGCTCGACAATTGGTCACGAAAAAGGCCCAAAAAGGGAAATCCATGGAAATACAGCCGAGGCAGAAGCGCGATAAGACCCGTGCGGTCCGGGGATCATAAAACAGTAATCTGGGCCTGAGGCTTGGACGACCGTCTTCGTCCTGCTTAAGCCGAAAACAATAGCTATTGTATCGTCCAAAAACTATAGTTATTAACAACGGGTCCTATGCGGGACAAATATATCGGGTGCTTATCGGTTGGGCGTCGGTAGTACCCGATGTGCACGTGCTTAGGGTGGACAATTCCGTTTTAACTTAGGGGGGTCATTACAGAAATGATTTCCTGCACGAGGGACTCAGCGAATTAGGAAGATGGTCTTAACAGCCACGTTAGAGCAGATCCTACCCAGGACTGGGGCCATTTTGTGAGAGAAACTATCTTTACTTACCAGAGCCTGCCTTTAAGGAAAAAGAGTCTGTCTCGCACAATCTTTTATTCCAAAACAGTACCTAGCAATTACGTCCTCGGTTTCAAAAGCTATTATATGAAAGTTGAAATGCAAGCTGCTTGCGCTTAGACGCGTCGATCGATAGTTCGCATGCTTATTAAGCCACTTTGAGGAGACACCAAGGGGCCGCCAGGTAGCAATCAGCAGAAAACGAAGAAGACGATACCTCTACACGATGACGACTCTAGACCCTAAGTCGAGACCAGAAGAGTTCGTCATCTCGTCCGTATAATTCTAGAGTATTGAAGCATATAAATCGATTAGGGCGGGTTTAGAGCTTACGAGACTCCAGAGGAACCAGTCCAAATTCGAAAACCAGAAATGAACAAACACAAGGAGACGATTGCAAGCTTCAAGGACCTCATGGGAAAAAATATTGCGTTGCTGCGTTGTATGGGACTGTTCTTCATGGACTGCGTTTTTACGGGGAAACCGAAAAGACCAGGAGCACTTGAAACAGTTTTCATATCTGCTAGTGTAGTGCTGATATCGCTGATGGTAGTATTTATGTTTCGCACCGTCCTGCTTGTGTGGGAGGAAGACATCGTCCTGGCTCTTAACTTGACACCAAATGCGATATCCGCAACTTTGTGTATTTTCAAGGTTTGCAACTTTACCGAAATTACTGGTTAATAAAAGCGATTGGTAATGCTGGTTGATACTTTACCGATATCATTGACGGAATCGTTTGAAAATCCTAAGACTTAGTGACGTCTACTTCCTTTCTGAATTTAGTTAGTTGTAGGTATTTTTCGCGTAGATATGTTTCACAAATTTTCGTTTTTTCAGGGCCTAAGACTGCTCCAGAAGTCTCGAGACATCATGTATCTGCTTAATAAACTCGGAGCCTTGTGGGGCACCTTTGTCGAAAGAAGAAGAAACGAGGCAGAAGTCTCGAGGATGATAAGAATCGTGACCGGCCATCGCAACTTATATGTCCTGGTGATCATGGGCGGAATTCCGTTGTTCGTCATCCGTGCGCATATGTAAGGATATTACTTGCTAAACCTCATACAGAACAGTTATCGATCACCTCCCATCGTGTCAACATGTTTCTAGAAAACACCATTTGTTAGGGTAAGACAAAGTGGCCTTCTTCGAAGCTATTTGATTCCTCGCAAAGCACCCAAATCGTCCTTTTTTTCGATGGCGTTTACTCTCTTCAAATGAGATCGGAAACTTTTGGATTTATCTTGCGAAATTCTCCTGCGTCAATTTTATAATTTTGTTATTATCTCTCTCATGTCAGAATAATCTTGCCATTTGTTATTATCACCCCGCTGGTCGGATCATAAAAATTCCTAATTTTTGTCTAGCGACATTAATCTTTAATACATTTGTATTATACAGGACTATCACGTTTCAGGTATATATTGGGCCAAGTGTTTGTCACGAAGAATGAATATAATTCTTTTAACTACAGCCTCACAGTTTTTCCCCTAGTTTACCCTTTTCCACAGAGTAATGCCCTCTGTTACTCGTTATGTGTTTTGTTCGAACACCTCGCTATACTTTCCATAGCCTGTTTCTGGACTTCCTGCGATTCTGTATTCGCACAAGTCACCACTCATGTTGCGATCCACTTTGAAGTAAGTATTTCAGATTTCTCTTTCACTTAAATCTGTAATTTGATTAACGACGATATCTTTACTGTATTCATAAGAATCTGCGGTATGACATCGAGCATGGATTTCCTACCGATGGCAATTTTCCCAGGAATGAGAATATCGTAATTCAAGAATTAATAAGCATTGCTAAGCGTCACTCGGAACTCTTCAGGTAACGAGATCATCTCCGAACATTAGCGCCTTCTTTGATTAAAAGAAATTTAGATTAGATGTATTAATAACAGAAGCTATATATATTTGACGAGCATTCAACAGATATCTGCAATTTGCCAGAAATTGTCATATTCGTGATAACAAAGACTCAGGAAATTCATACAATAACGTTAAACACACATACGATTCCAATGAAAGAACAATTAATAAGCAACGATTATCACATTAATCTTTTTTATTGTATCTTTCAGTCTCTGCCATGCCATCGAGAACATATTCAGCCCGATAATATTGTTGACGACGCTAATGACTGCTGCTAACATTTGTTTCTGTCTGTATCAAATAGACACGGTAAAGAGAAAGATGCATCTACCAGTAGTTCACCGAAGATCACTTCCCACATGGAACAAAAGCTCTATTATACGTATATAGAATGTTTTCACGGCTACGGGATGTTTCAGTATATCAAAACTTAAAAATATACGTATAATGTATGTTCACGGAATGTCAAAAATATTATATTGGATTTTAGATGTACATTATACGTATTAAATATGTTACTAGAACATCAAAATTTGCACCAATTAAATACGTTTAGTAAACGTATAATATATCTCTGTTCAACGGGAATTTGTGTGTAGTTTTTCACATGCCAAAAACATATAATGGACGTATGTTGTGCGTGTATTAAGAGAAGAAAAACTGACCTATAAAAAACGTAAAATGTACATATATTTTATGTATGTAAATATACATTATTTTACTCGCATGATTGATATATGTATGTTATACGTTACTAGAGCATTTACATATTCACCAATTAAATACGTTTGACAAACGTATAATACATCTCTATTTAATAGACTCCTGTATCTGCGATATTACACATGCAAAAGACATGTAATGAACGTATGTTGTGTGTATATTAAGGGAAGAAAAATTGTCCTGTCACGGACGTAAAACATACACATGTTTTACGTACGTAAATATGTATTATTTTACTCGTATGTTTGATATACGTACTTTATACGTTCCTAGAACAACCACGTTTTCACAAATAAACGACGTATACTAAACGTATAATATACTTCTGTTTAAGCCGCACTTGTATCTAACATATCACATATGCAAAAGATATGTAATATGTGTAAGTTGCGCGCATATTAAGGAAATGAACATTAATTTGCCGGATACATATGACATACATACATATTACATACGTATAATAACAAACATACAGGGAAATTTATTTCTACTCATAAAGTGCATAATACAACAAATGCTTAGTTAAGTGTAATGCTTAGTAATATGTGCCTAGATGTATTTAAATAACATGGTACATTAAATGATACTTTGCTGCATGTTTGTTATATGCTTCATTGGTGTGCGACTTGACTACTGCAGACTGCAAGTGAAGCTCATACAAAATCAAAATAATTTCACGAGACATATCGTTTTGGCGGCGACGCTTTTCTTATACAAGTACAAGTATTTGCAAGGAATATATATATATATTTAACTTAAATACATGTCCTTATTTTTGACTAGAGATTGGCAATATAAACGATATTGATTAAACCAAATTATAATTAAACTTATTACTGTGGTGTTTTAATATGCGAAACGTGTCGCATAATCCATAGGACTACGATAGCTTAGTGGTCAGCACTACTATAGTCTGTTACCTAAATGACTCGGGTCACCACCATGGGGATTTTTTCAATGCCAGATGTTTGTATATTTCGAAGATTCCAGGTCCCTGAACAGATTGTGGTAAATTGTTTCTGAAAAGAAATGCATTTAGTGCAAAATGAATAATACTTTTTTAAATTATTACACCCACATTTGGAATACGTCTTATATATGTATAAAATACGTATAATATTATACATGACTAATATGTCCAGTGTACGGCTGTTGAACTTTTGAATATAGGCATACAATCTATTGAAACTTTTATCTATTGGTTTATCATACGTATATACGTATGTGTCAGATATCTTATATACGTTTACTATACACAATACGTTTACCATATATCTTGTTTACATATAATATACATACTTTATCCACATGGAATGTATATTAAATGAAAGTGGAATGTTCAAAAATACATATACTGTATGTTGTCGGCGCGGACATTTGTACATGCCCCAGCACATTCCGTATACTTTTGTATACATCTATTACACGTCTGAATGTTTTAGCCAGATATCCTATATACGTATACAATATCTAGATGGCCGTGTGGGTAAATATCTCGTTTCTTAGATGATGACATTTGGCGATTACGTGGAGACGGCGAAGAACATATTTCACTTTCTGATACTCTTCTCGGCGATAGTCACTTATTGTGGATTTGCTAGCATGCTCACTGATAAGGTAAGCTTCCAAACTATTGCGAATGTATCGCCCGGACGAGTGCCAGACATCGTCATCAATAACACATATAACTGCAATACAATTGTGTACTAAAGACATGGTCATTCTGTTTTTCTTTCCACGTATAGTAATACACCGTCAAACAAAATTTTGGATAATGCATTTACTGTACGGAACGTTGCTTCTCGATTAAACCATTGTCGTAGATTTTACTTTAATCGTCATGGTAATAACTATTGATTACTCTACGATTGCATATGAATCACTACTTCATGGCGATATAAAAGCTTTATGCTATATACAGGGTTTGTCCGAAAAATAATGTCATGAGTCGATTTAAAAAAAATGTATAGACCAGATCGGTACAACAGATTAAAAAGTTTGAAAATAAGCTCCTCTGCGTCGATACATCGCTTCCAGCAAGATTTCCAGGCATCGAAGGCGACACGGTAGGCTTCCTCCGGAATGTCCTTCAGAGCCTTGGTGCAAGCCGCTTTGACGTTGGCAACTGTCCCGAAACGATGACCTTTCATGGGAGTTTTCAAGCGCGGAAACAAGAAAAAGTCTAGAGGCGGCACGTCAGGACTGTAGGGCTGCTGGGGAACCGTTGGCACCTTTGAATCGGCCAGGAAGCCGGTCACGAGGAAGGTGGAGTGGGCTGGCGCGTTGTAATGGTGAAGTTTCCAATCGTCCGCGACGTCGGGCCGGACGCGATGAACCCTTCGCTTGAGTCTCTTGAGTACTTTCACGTAGAATTTGGCGTTGACCGTTGTACCATGTGGTACAAACTCATGGTGGACGAGGCCCCTAATGTCGAAGAACACAATGAGCATGGTCTTGACTTTTGACTTGCTCATTCTGGCTTTCTTGGGGCGAGGGGACGCCGAGGTGTGCCACTCGGTACCTTGCTTTTTTCGTTTCGCGGTCCTATTCAAACACCCATGACTCGTCACCTATAATGACATTGTCTATAAAGTGGGGGTCACTTTCACACAAGTCCCAAAGTTCCTCGCACGTTTCAACTCGGCGCGATTTTTGGTCGTCTGTTAACACTTTGGGCACCAGCTTCGCGCACACTCTTCGCATGTGCAAATTGTTTGTCACAATCTCGTGAACGGTACTTTTTGGAATGTTTAATGTCTGTGCCACTAATCGAACACTCAAACGACGGTCTAAATTTAAAAGTTCTCTCACATGCGTCACCTTTTCGTCTGTGGTAGTTGTTGATGACTGTCCAGCACGGGTTTCATCGCTGACCGCTTCACGGCCTTCAAAAAAGGTCTTGTGCCACCAGTAGACACGACGTTCCGACAAACAATCATCACCAAAGGCCGTCTTTATCATAGGAATAGTTTCCACAGTGGAATTACCGAGTTTCATCTAAAACTTGATGGCAATCCTTTGTTCCAATGAGCGCTGCATTACGGCTTGCACGGGAGACCAAAACGTGTTTCACGGTAAAGCCTGTCCTTACTTTCCGGATGGTCGGAGACGACTGAGCGACCACGCATTCGAAAGTTGACTTCCTGCTCCACCGATCCCATCCGGTTCGAGCGCGCTATGATGCACAATTAAATCACTCACATTGATTTTCGGACAAACCCTGTAACTAGCTAATTATCCGTGCTTTTACTACCCCGTAAAAGAGATAAAACAGTATGACCAATGTATTTTGTTGAAGGCAAAGATGATCAGCGATGGTGCCTACGCATCACAATGGTACGGATGCGAAAATAGAGCGAAGAGGCTTCTGATAATCATGATGATTCGTTCTCAAAAGCCATATTACCTCACAGCCTACGGCTTCTTCGCCATCACTCTGAACCAGATCACCACGGTGAGTAAAATTCAGAATAATAATGCTACCACTGAAAACAGAGATGGACAGCGAATAAGTGTTTCCGAAAAGCGAGCAGCTATTTCGTACAACGGTGTTCTCATAAAAGTATAAACGATCGTTGGAAGACCAATGTCTGTTAATTAATTTCAGTTTTCAGATTTTCAATACATCACTGTCGTACTTTATGATGTTGAAAACAATGGCTTGAAACGATGTGGCTTTGAGAATGTGATATAAATTGGCGCGTCACATTATTTCTAGATCGATGAACTTGGTTCCTGGATATCTATCGTTTACATGAACGATGAGAATCTTCAAATAAAGTATTCTTAACTTCACGCATTTATACTTGCACTCTTTGTTAAATGTTTCCTTAAGCTGTTAATTATATTTTTCTGTCCCTGCATTTACTTTTATATTATAAGTATAATATTTAGAGACATGACGAACATGGATTAATATGTGTATTTTAGCTTTGGAATCATAACCCTGTCACCAATTTTCACGTTTTATATTGATGGGTGAGTCAATTATTGAATACAATACAGACACAGAAATAGTGCTGCACCTACTCAAGTTAAGATGACTGCGGGAAGCTAAAAGGAGTCTTCCATTAGTCAAAATGTAATCGATTTAGAAAATTGACACCTGTAACAAGGAAAGTACCCGAGGTGTATCTCGCCGATTTTCTTCATTCTGTGAAACTTTATAGTACATGCAAAAACATTAGAGACGTATTTTTTCATACGTGCTAACTCGGCGATTTAAGGGGTGAAATGGACCCTTAAAGTTCACCCCCGAAAAATGTTTTCTTTTTGTTACGGGGCGGCCGAGCGGATGCGAGGCCGGGGTAATTCGGATGGAGATTACCGAAATCTTGCGCGTAACGATTATTTTAAGTTTGTGAGAAGATTGATCCGAGCGGCTAGATCAATTCCTTTGGTGGGATCTAGGGGAGTGTGGAATAAAAGGGGGTGCGAACGAATGGCTATGTGGCTACAAGATTTGTATTTATTCGTACGCGAGGTCTGAACTACAGTCAGCTGGAAGGGCACCCGAGGTGCCTTGACATAATTTCTCTAGATTAACATACTTCCGTGTCGCGGAGGTTCGGGTGTCGCGATAGCGCGCTTTAGCGGCGGCAGGTTACTGGACGCCAGTGTGCTGACGCGGGAATTCTTACTATTTTAATGGCGGTTTGCGCGTGATTCTATTTCGCGATGCTGAGATTCGAGCTCAGCTGTTTAATGGAAGTCGATGGATTCTTAATCTATCCGGTTAACCGGAGCAAGGCATCGCGATAATGGTTAGAATTCGATTTTGGTCGACGATGAAGGGTTAATAAATAAACTATAATGAAAATGAGGATGAATCGAGCTTGCGAAGAATCCTCTACCTGGCTTATTCAGCGGCCGTAATCGGTGACAGTCTCTTTTGATCGACCCGGTCGGATGACTGTCTGTGAACACCTTCGTCCCGTGGTGTGCCCTAGGGTTGGAGGTTTCCTTGAAGCCTCCCGTCCAACGGAAGTCGCAGTGCCGCCGTCTAGTCCTGACTCGGTGGCTGGATCGCTGGAGTACCGGATGGCGCTACTGCAGCTCGCAGGATAGTGGTCCTTGGCAGGGAGTCCAATGGTCTCGGTCTCTGACTCGCTAGGAACGGAGTACCGGGGACCAGGAGCTCCACTCGAAGTTTCGATGACGACTGACGTTGATTTATTGACGATTGACTAAAGACTTTCGACTAATGACTTGTGACTTATCGTTTGATCGGACTGCTGGTTTTATTAGCAGGATGTTCCAATTGGTGGGGGCTTCTTAGGGCCCAGGTGAGGGTGGCGTTTCTGAGTCGTGCTGATGCGTGGCGGAGTCATCAGGTTGTTTGCCCCGGGTCGGTCGGTAACTTTTGGAGCCGTTTGGCCGATGAACTCGTTGGATTCTTTCGCAAGAGTTTCGCGTTTCTGTACTCGGATTTCCATGGCTAGCTCCGGCGATTGAAAAAAATAGGGGTTTTTCCCTATGTTAGGGTACGAAAGGTACCTACGTAACATTTTAATATCTGAAGAACTATTGGGAATTTTGTAACGAAATAAACGTCATATTATTCGCCATATATAGACGATATTATAGGTTATCATTTTACCTCAAAGGAGTACGTCCTTCAAATTTTACGAAACAAAATAGCCATTTTTCGACCATTTTTTCGATGTAAAGAATGCAAAATTATGCCAATTTGAATCTAACCGATCCTGTTAGATGGATCACAAAAAAAACAAAATTTACGTTAAATTTACGGGACTAATTATTAGTTAATACTTCTCATCGTCTTATAGTGATTCTAATGACTTCATGTCAATATAGTCTTCCCATCTCGACGCCGGTAAGGCAGTACCTGCAGCCTTCCGATACCGGCATGACGATGATGTCGATGTGGACATGCTCGAACCTCGACGAGGGTGGTGCGAAGGATGCCACCGGTGCCGATGTGTGCCTCATGACCTTGCAACTTTGGCAACGAAGGCAGCTGCGGGCCCAATTTCGGCAGTTTGCTTTGACCGACGGCCATATGTAACGTTGCGTCACGAGCTTGACCGTCGCCTTGCTGCCAGGATGCGCCAATTCGTGGATCCGATCGAAGGCTGCCCTGCGGAATTCCGGTGTGAGGAAGGGACGCGCCGGTGACGTTGAGGTATCGCAGAAAACGACCACGTTCGTTCCAGGGATCGGAACTTGCTCGAGATGCAAGGCCGAACCCGAACGCAGGTACGTCTTCAGCTCGTCGTTGTCTTTCTGTGAGGCTGCCAGGGCGCCGAAGTCCAGCGTTGCGTCGGCCTCCTCAATCCGGGACAGGGCGTCGGCGACCACGTTGTCCTTCCCGGAGATGTGCTGGATGTCGGTGCTGAACTGCCCTATGTAGTCTAAATGTCTGAATTGGCGTGGCGAGCATTTCTCTCGTTTTTGGTTGAAAGCGAAGGTGAGCGGTTTGGGGTCCGTGAAAATCGTGAAGGTCCTCGCCTCTACCATGTGCTGGAAGTGTTTGATGGCGAGGTAGATGGCGAGCTCACGGTCGAACGCGCTGTAAGAGTGTTAAAAATATCTATAAAGATATTTTTTTAACCCCTTAAGTAGGGCGGAGTCGGATGCGGAGATATGTCACCTGTACGGAGAGCTTGTCCGTAGAGTGTTCATATGTTATATGAATACGATATTGATTTATCGCTTTGAATTCATGGGAATGAAGGGAGCCGCTATAATGGCGATTTGCCATTAAAGGGTCAAATTAAAATTCCATTGAAGTCCTTCCTTAGGACCCTGATATTCACGTGGTAAAGTTTGAAATAATTCGGTACACCCAGGTCGGAGAAAAGTTTCATAAACAAGACTTCTCCGATGCCACGTTCACATCACTTTAATTCACACATCCATTCTTATTGTGTTTATTCCTAGAACAAAATGTTCGGAGAAAATTATAGAGTTTATGATGATCAAAATATTTGTTGAGCAACAATCATAGATAACTGC